GGTCAATCACAACGCACTGGATAGCTGGCTAATCAGAGCACACCTCGCTTTTCAGACCGATTAGTTTTGTAAAAATCGACGCGTTTCAAAAAGGCGGGGCATAGAGGAGAAACAATAATGTACAGTATGTGGAAAATAATGTGTTTTTTTTACTTTAAACCGCATAAACACATTTCATTACACCAAATACACAAAATAATGTTCTTTTTAGCAGCATCATATGACCCCTTTAAAACAAGAAAATGTACTCTTTGTATTCACGTTGTTTCATATAGACTTCTCCAATCATTTGGTACGCACATTTGGTATGCAAACTTGAGTTCATCTGCTATTTTTGATAGAACCAAGTCCTTGCCTTAGATTTTTACACTCATATTTACCTCACAATATGGAAGAAAGGATCTGTCGCTACTTCGATTTCATTGCAACTGTAAGCTATCATTTATTTTTATATATTGCCAACTGACTCTGTTTACCAGATTGGAACAAACTGTCCAGCCTGATTTGCAAACCAGTTCATTAAAAAAAAAACAGAACAGATGTGACAGAACCAAAAGAACGATTTTTCTATGAATCGTGCATCACTAGTAAATTATTATTTTTCTGAACACTCTCTCTTGCCTGATGCACGTACCTGGAGGCAGTAAAGATCTGTTTGGAATTGGCGCAGATAGCATTGATAGGGCTGTCATGGCCCTTAATCTCTCCGATGGGCGTGAAGTTGTCCACGTTCCACACCTTGAGCATTCCCCCCCTGCAGGCACTGAGGAGCATGGGCCGCCCGGGAACGAACGCCAGAGCACACACCCAATCCTTGTGCGCGTTTGGGATTTGCTGAGGAGAAACAAGTAACATTCCATTTTTAGCTCAGCTCTGCTCTACAAACGGCAGCATTCTCAGTGTCAATCAGGTCTGCAGTACAAACAGTGGGTGGAAGTTTACTTCTTCAGTTTAGGGGTTAACCTCTTACCCTTACTACACACAAAATAGTAATAATAAGACTGCAGTAATAATAAGACTGCAAATGATTTCAACAAACAAGCCGAATTTTATTCTGAATTTTATAAAAATATAGATGCTATAAAAGGACATTTATGAAGTTCTATATGTCACATGATAAATTTCACTTTATTACCAACATCTTCGGCTGATTCTGCCAACAGGCCTGTGGACGGAAAATCTCATAAAAGAGCAACCAAAGCACTTTATCTTGGCAAATTTACTCAGTTGTGCAATCAGAGAGGGCACGTAAAGTGTGTTTAGATAAACCCACTGCTTACACATTGATAACTGCATTGGGATTTAAACGTCTTCCTATTGAGGGCGAGAGGTGGCGTGTGCTGTCAATCACTTAAAATATAAAGACTTGGATATGTTTAATAGAATGGTGCTAAATAAATCTGCGTAATGAAAACAAAATAAAGACAGATGTGAAGATATTGCTTTAAATAAAGATTTCTTTCATCTGCATGTCCAAAAACCTGGAAATGTTTACAGGTAAATACTGATTATAGATCTCCGTTCATCATGACACATTGATCTTCCAGGTGATATTTGTCCTCTGTTTTTGGATTTCAGCATCAAACTGTGCTTTAATTATTACTATTACAATAAAATGTACCTGTGAAATGCATAATTCATATATTCTTGACTTGCAGGAGACTCATTTTGTCAAACCCATTTTTATGTCATCTTATAATAGTCTACCATTATTTTTGACCTTTTAGCTCTGGATGATGTGAAGCTTTGGTATGTGTTCTTGTCTAATATAAGCAGCTGGAGAAACCATTAAAATTAAACTTATTACTAGCTGTTTTTAGCTGTCAGACTGCGATGACGTCAACCGGCGCTGATAAATGAAGCCATCCTACATCTATTGACACAGGAACAATAGGTAAACGCTGGGTTATTACCCTCTGAAACATCATTTGTCTGTGTATATATTATTTTTCGGTATTGGATATTGTATTTAACTTTGTCGCTGTCAGTCATGTAAGCTGTCTTAACTTTAATGCACTTTAAACTCTTTAAAGCACTTACAGCTTATCATTCACACAGTTCTTTCTTTTTCTAGTTGCTTAAATAATTATATCAAAATATCTAATTGAAATCTACATTTCTTAGTCATAATTAAAGGAAAAAAGGGGGGAAAATTGCCACATGAGGCTCATTGCTTTGACAGTATGATGATTGTACAGAGGACAATAATTAATATTATAACCACAAATAGTTAATACATTACAAGCAGCGTGTAAATTATGTTATGTCACATTATAACATCACACATTAACATAAGACCAAAATACGCTTACATGCAATAGTAATTTTTACCTGAATAAGTTCCTGCTGTCCCAGATCCCATTTCTTAATGCCATTGTCACGGGAACCACTGAACAGTACGTCGCCATGTACAGCAAGGCACTCAATCCCATCGTAATGAGGGGGCTCGAAGTTATGAGCTGGTCCGATGTTACCCTGGGTTCCCTCCACAACATCAAATATCTGCATTAAAGAGATCATGAATTGAGAATGAATTTTGACATATAAGAGGTCATTGTACTATAAAAGCATGTGGCAAGTTTCAGAACTCAGACCTTACTTGTTAGTGCAAAAAAGCTTTTATTGCTTGTTTTATTACTTGTAAAACAACTCGTTTTCTACTTCTACAGGTTTTCTACAGTTTTTATTATGCAATAGAGATGAATACATTGGCACGAGACTGCTATAAGATTGTTTTGATATGTAAGGACTTGTGGTTAGCCGTTCTGTCTCAAAATCATTTATTTCAAGGGTAAATCAATAAATCAAGCCATCTACTGAACAGTCACATGCACATTGTTCATTTTACTAGCATTAAAAACAACGTTTTCAAATTGTGATTAAATTATATACAGAAAGCGAACAAAGAGCCATCCCTTTATAATCACTGAAGCAGTCACTTTAGTTCAGCGCAAGTTCTGCTATCTCACCAAATCAGCAAAATGAAACTCAAATGTACATTGTGTCAGCACTTTTTTGGTTATGATGAGAGCATTCACAAGAGTATGTGAGTTAGCGCTGAACAAAACTAACTACAATGCCCAGTGCTGCCAAAACAAAGTGCTAAAAGGAACCTTTGATGGAGTAAATGTACTGTAAACATAGCACTGTAATCCACACTTTACACGATTAGTAAAATGCAGCTTCACATGCATAATACTTATTTCATATGCAAAGATGTTATGTATGCTTGTTTAAACCATAGTCTAAAACAAGGTAGAAAATGGCCATTAATTTCTAAATTATAACTGCTTTTGATGCAAATATTTTAAACACAACATAGTACTCAATGTCAAACCTATATCCTAGATGACTACATGAAGAACAGAGACCTATATAAAAAGGGAAATAAACTAAAATGGTTAAACGCACTTTCACGTAATGGTCTTTGGATCCAGTGATCACCTGATCCTTGCCTCCTCCAGAATAACCCACTGTAAGACACATGACTGACCCAATGTGTCCGGTCAGCTTCCCAGTGGCCTGCATTCTGCACACAAAGAATATAACAGAATATGCGCATGGTTATGAACTCTGTACAGCCAATTCACTTGGTAGGTTTTTGAATTCGTCAATAAATGCTAATGACTTAGGAATGAACTCTGCACCTGTTGAGGTCCCATGTGCGGACAGTGTTGCCTGCAGCGGCATACAACACAGATCCGGAGGGATTGAGGGCGATCTGGTTGATCTGGTACTCGCCTTGGGCTGTAGTGATGGTGCGAGTGGTTGTACCAGCACAGGCATCGCCTGAGACCACCTGACCCGATGACCTAAAGATGGACGAGTTGAAATTTGCTAAACTAGGTGCATTCAGATGCTACAGCTAAATGCTAATTGAAAATATACTCACGTGAACGTCCGGACGCACTTGGCAGAATCGCGAATGTCCCATACTTTGATATATGAGGTGGAAACTGTGAAGACCAGGCCAGAGTAGCTGCAGTATTTGACAGACACAACGTTGTTAGGATGTCCTCTCAGGGTCACGATTTCCTGTCCAGTCACCAGGTTCCACATCTTGCAGGTTCGATCTGAAAAAATTTTAAAAATTATGTTTTTTAACATTAAAAAAAAATGTTACGCTATGCATGTTTATGATGCCAATCATGTTCATCCTTGAGCCAAAAGTAAAAAAACTGAAGCATAATTTGTTTGGCACACATCGCCAATGGCAAAAAGGTTAAGCATGCTTAAAATTACATAAAATTTAGATTTAATTAGGTTTAGAAATTAATAAAAAAAGAAATGTTCAGTCGCTTCGATGTATTAAAAGTCCTTAAAGCTAAAATTTGTACTCAATGTCCAAAAGGTTGCTAGCCCCTCCAGCATAAAAACAAAAACATAATTTGCTAAATGCAAAATATGCATTTATGATTACAGTTTCAGGATGTAATGCTGGTAGCTTGTAAATGAATAATAACTGAAGCACTGTGAGTAATGTATAAAGGTGCACAAGATTTCTGTTGAGATGCCCACAGTTAGCCTTCTTTACAGCAGTGGGCTTTCGACCTCGAGAAAATGTAATTCAAATTGGCTCATGTGTTTGTGCTTATAGGTGTTTATGTTTTCCTTTCACAGGTTCACAGTGGAAAAAAAATGATACCTTTAGAGCCGGTGAATAGCAGCTCGTCCGTGGCATCCAGGCAAAGCACAGGTTTAGTGTGTCCCTCAGCCATCGCCACACACTGCAGAGGGGCCGTCCTGCCCCCCTTCAGCCCACCTGTGGGAGTGATTACACCCCTGCACAAAGACAAGCAGCATTTTAAAACACAGTTGTGAAGTGCAGAAGTCTGTGAGGTTAGTCGAGCAGGTGGAAAGGAGGATGTCACAACAAAGCTTGTTTGTGTTCAAATACAACGTGTGCCATCTGTTCCACGCGGATGGACAAAAAAAAGCAAAAAAACTATTTTTTGCATCAATGTGTGAAAGAACAACAGATTGAGGGACAATAGAAAGAGAAAGAAAAAAAATTTAAACAGGAAGAAGGTCCAATCCATTAACCTAATTACAGGTTGTCAAGTTTGTGCAGCCACTGACCAGTGTTTATATGTAGAGTACGAGAATTAGCATGTGGGCTAAGCTAACATGCTATGCAATGCTAAGCTAATGCTAACTGAAAAACCAAATAATGATATACAGAATTTGTAATTTACCATTAAAACATAATAAAAAATGTTTTTTAAATATTAAACAACATGCATCATAAAGAGATTTTGCAGAATTTCTTATCAGGCATTGAATAAAGTAGTCATTAAAAGTTCTTTCATTCAATGAAGTTGCTAGGTGGACTTGATTCAATGGGCAGACTGAATTGTTCATGTCCACCACTTTGTGAGATCCGGCGGTTGAACCTTGCAAACTCCAGGCCCCCATGCTTCGGCCGCTCTCCCTGGAGTTCATTGTCAACGTGCTGATATTTAATTTGATTTATCAGACTCCAGCTGTGTCACACAGGATTCGGCCATCAACCAGGCAGACGAACATGAGTGAAAACAATAGAACAGACTCCATATATCGAGCAGGTGCTAATTATGTCCTGTCGTACCACTGTACCACTGCCAAGCAGCAGGGGAGCCGATACATGTGACGATGTCACACTGACTGCAAAGCCAAGCCGAATGCACACTTGAAAGGGAAGCCTGTTCGACTGATGCAAACTGCAGCAAAGTCCTCTGTGAGTTGTGGACTTTGGTTCAGAAGTTTAAATCCGCATTTCAAAGCCGCTCAGTTGGTCACTACTGACTTTGCAGGGTGGCACAGAAAGTGGATCTATTTTAAGACATCTTCAACCTCCATATGTTTTGCAGAAGAATGATCGACTCTTGTGTGGTGCAAGTAACGTTTATCTCTAGACCCCAAAGGCTGCAATTGACAGAAATGTTAAAGGGATAGTTCACCCAAAAATGAAAATTCTGTTATTAATTACTCACCCTCATGTCGTTCCAAATCCGTAAGACCTTCATTCATCTTCGGAACAAAAATTTATTACACAAAGGATATTTTTGATGGAATCTGAGAGCTCTCTGACCCTCCATAGACAGAAAGGATATTACCATGAGCAACGCACAGAAACGTAGTAAAGAAATCGGTAAAATAGTCCATGTGATATCAGGGGTTAAACCGTAATTTTACGAAGCTACGAGAATACTTTTTGTGCGCAAAGAAAACAATAACAATTTATTCAACAATTCTTCTCCCCGAGTTCAGAACGTAATCAATTAAATCAGCATTGTTTACGTTCAGTAGAAATTGCGCACATGCTGACCGTAACCAACGCTGATTACATTGATTACATTCTGGGGTACTCTCCAAAATGGAGGAAGATGGTAACTTGGGGAGAAGAATTGCTGAATAAATTATGTTATTATTGTTTTCTTTGCGCACAAAAAGTATTCTCGTAGCTTCGTAAAATTACGGTTGAACTCCTGATGTCACATGGACTATTTTACCAATGTCCTCGCTACATTTTTGTGCGTTGATCGTGGTAATATCCTTGCCATCTATGGAGGGTCAGAGAGCTCTCAGATTCCATCAAAAATATCTTAATTTGTGTTCCGAAGATGAACGACGGTCTTACAGGTTTGGAACGAGGGTCAGTAATTAATGACAGAATTTTAATTTTTGGGTGAACTAACCTTTAAGCTAACCTAACTTTAAGCACCTAGGTAATATTATTTAAATAATTAGTTCACTCCAGAAATAAAATGTGTCTCCCCATGTCATCCAAGATGTTCATGTCTTTCTTTCTTCAGTCGAAAATAAATTAAGGTTTTTGAGGAAAACGTTCCAGGATTTTTCTCCATATAGTGAACTTCAACAGGGGACCAACGGGTTGAAGGTCCAAATTGCGATTTCAATGCAGCTTCAAAGGGCTCTACATGATCGCAGCCGAGGAATAAGTGTCTTATCTAGCGAAACGATAGGTCATTTTCTAAAAAACATAATTTATATCAATTTTAACCACAACTCTCGCTCGTTTTAAGAATGCATTCTATGCACCACTTGGTGCATGTGACCCTTTGGTGTATACACCTCAAGGGCTTTGGTGTTCAGTTTCTTTTGTCGCATGTCCTGAGGCTTTGGAGGCCACTTGCCCCACTGGCCTGGTCCATAATCCAGCCTGAGTTGATATGCACGAGAACAGAAAGTAGATTTGACTTGTGCACGTGCGCTGAGGGAGCACAGAATTTGCAAATGATCGACTGAAACTCTTGCACTCAAGCAGGGATGAAACGAAGGAACCTACAGCTTCTGAGGATGCAGAGCAACACGGGGCTTTTTAAACTTATTTATATCCACATAAATTGTTTAAAAGACTCTTTGCAGGAGACAGGCAGCACTTCTTCCTCCTGGCAGCCTTATGCGAGATGGTCCCAATTAGGAACCACAGTTTCCCAGAAGCTCCCAAAAGACACTTCAAATCTCTTCACCAGTATGAATGCCGTCAAACCGTCCATCAAGCATCGAGACCGCAGCCAGACAAAGGCGATGAAGGAATAGTTGCTCTCAACCATGCTGGGACTCGTGTTATGATGTCACCATTTTGTGGTCTGTCTAATGGCTGACAGGCTTGGCATCACCATCACACAACACCTGTCATGGTTGCTCATATCACATCGGGGAGCGAACAATGTTTCGCCTTGGATGGCATCCACTAGCTTTTTCGGTTTTCCCCCAACAATAGCGCAGGCAAGCTGGTGTGCAATTGAAAACCGCAATCTCCACATCCATCGTAACAGCACCACAGTGCCAACTGCAAATGGATGTAACGTTTACTGACAGCTGGCAAGCCGAATTTCTGGTCAGATTTATGATGGACCACTGCCACGGGCTAAATGAGGGTTTCTATCGCAGGAGAGATGTGCTAAACACACATGTTGTTTTGATGGAAGAGAGGATTTGTCTATAAACTGCTCCAGAACTTCAGGAAACAAAAATAAAACTTAAGGTCTCAAGGTCTCCAGGACTTGTACTTGAGGGACCAAGACAAGTAAAATGACTTCGGGGTTGATCTCTCATCTCTCGTCTTATTTCCGTCTTATTTTCCCATGCTCCCACTTGTGCAGAGCGGAGGATGCATTATGTCAGTCATAACAGTGGGGGTATTTTCAGCTCAGTACTGACCCCTCCTGGAAATCGGAGAAGTAATTTCTTTGAGTAAACAGGTGGAAGTAATCTTTAGTAAAAACTAAATCAAACAAAAGTAGGCATTACTTTTCAAAAACCGTCTTCATTTTTGGCGTCAATTTTTGCTGCCAAGAAAGCTTTGTAACTCCAGTTGTGCCTGCCAATTAGCCCACATACATTGGCAACCTGGCTGGGCTAAACAAGCTTTCCCTCCCCTAAAAAAAATAATGAGGCTCTTCCCCTTAAGGCTGACACAGCGTTCCCAACCAGCCCAGTCTCGGAACGCTCCTTCCTGCTGGCCGAGTGAGACGGAAATGAAGCTGGAGTTTGGGATGAAGGGAAATTGGGTCTCCAGAGGGCTGAGATCAGCCTCTGTCCAGCTCAGTGCCTGTGAAGTCCTAATGAAGGTGGAGCCGTCAAAGCGTCTTTGTGCGGGCTCATGAGGATGGCCGATTAAAGAGGAAACTGGGACATCCCAGTTCTCTGAGGACAGATGAAACGCGAGAGGCTGCTGTTGGCACATTTGTGCTCTCTAAAGTGAGAAGAACTCTAGGGAGGTCCGGCGAACAGGAACTGATGGTGATCGGGTTCCGGACTAACACTGTGTGAGGAGTTTAAACATAAGTATCTACAAAGTAGTTTACGTGTGTGCGAACTTCAATTAAAGAATAAAGCATTTAACTGAAGCTGCGTTTGCATATCATTATCATTCTAAAATTGTATATGCAACTAGATTTTTTTTTCCATCTAAAGTAAATCTACACACATGTGCACATGCAAAACTCATCGTCATGGTGTTTAGGGTGCTCTAGGTGGACACTGGACACTGTTATCCTGGGTGTTTGCTAATCAAGTCAAAATAAGACACCGCAAACTCTCTAAATGCTCCAACTTCCTTAATTTTTTTTTTTGCCTTCTTTATTGCCCACCAGGCAAATGGTTCACAGCCTTGGCAAGCTTCAATAATGAGCACCACATAATTTCTCCACACCATGCAGCTTAATTTTTTGCTCATTTGAGCCGATAAGTGAGGAATTAGAAAAGTGTGAAGAGTTATTAAGGAAAATGCTCACCATTTTATTCCTCACTTAGTGTCAATCAAACAAACTCAGTCAATACAGGTATAGTGCCATGCTGTGCTATGACCATTACTGCCATAAACCAAAAATCAGTCTACACACACTCGACATGCAAGCCCTGCGATACTAAAAACGCATGAAGAAGGAAACACTCCATTTCACACAAGTGCGAAAACCAAAACAATACAACAAATGACAACAGCAAATTTGAAAGGAAAAAAATTGAATTGATGTTCTAAAAACCACACCTTCATGCAGCACATAACCAATGAGGAGTGAGCTCACGGTTCTGGACCCTTCCACTGGGTTGAAAGAAAAGAAATCTGATGCTCTGAGAAAAACATGGAGTGTGAAAAGGGGGGAGTGGAGATGGGGGGGATCCTGAGGATGTCAGGATATGGAGTTTCTGTGCTTTTCATGGATAAACGAAGGGGGAGTTGTTATGAATGAACCTTATCTTATCCCCCCATAGCGGGATTTAGAGCAAACCGCTGTGGTTCAGAGAATAAAAGCCTTCCCTACTGACTCACTCAGCTTTGCGCTGATCAAAGAGGGTGTTGATCTAAAAAAAAAAAAAACACTCAAGTCCAAACTGCCCAGTTACACTGGCTTCAGATAAGACAATTTAGCCAAAATACTAAGGCATCATAGCGTGAAGTTTATCATCATGCTGTTTTGTTTCATTCGCGGATAGTTTATCGCCAGTGGCTCACTTGGTGAACAAGTTAAGCCAGCTGTCTGTGATTCCTTCCTTAAACAGATTTGTCTCTCAAAGGAAATTTGGGACAGAGTAGTTCTAAGCACTCCATGTTCCATCATAGAGCCATTAGCTTCTAATGGTATAACGAGAGCAACTTGAAAGAAACAAGAAAAATGCAATCGTGCTGTCAGGATAATGGGGTGCAGAGAAATCACAGTGTCGCTATATTGGATAAGAAATGAATATTGAGCAACATACAAAATTGAACCTGTGGGGTTTGTCTGAACCAATTTCTTGGAGTCTTTACAACAGAGACCAGAGGAAACTTGCGGAAAAAAAACAAATTAGATTACTGGTAGTTCAAAGGACAAAAAGACTAAATTTACTCAACATGTTAACAAGTTCGGTTGGCATCTTACTAGCCAATTTTTCAGTCGATTTTCATTTATAAGCTTCATTTACATAGTTGCTTAAGAGTCAAGAGACACGTTGTCTCTCAGCAGGTGGGTGTTAACCCCGAGTTAAAAGCCCTGCCGACAACTTCTGGACTGCTTAAACTGTTCAGTTGGTGAGGCAGACTCTCATGGCTTTGGGAGCGACTACTGAAGTTCTTTTCTGTCAGATCGGGTAATTTCGACAATTTGTGACAAGGAATCAGAGAAAAATATTGTTGGCAAAAGGCATCGAGATTTTGGCAAAAATGCCAGTAGGTGTGACACTCCAGACCAAAATCGTTTTGAGTTGGCTAGTGGGACGCCACCTTTTGATCCCAGTCCAGAGCTGTTGCGAGACTCAAATAGGGTTTTTAATAGGGCCTTCCAAACAGCTCGGCAGGAAATGATCAATTAAATGATTTTGTGACATTTAAGCTAGTACATTCAAATCAAAAGTTGTATTTCGAAATCGGTTTTCCTTCCTCTGAACCTTCAAGATCGTTAAAGCTATTCAAACAAGTCCGTCCATAAGGTTCATTCAATTCTCACAGACTTCACGGCACAGGACGCAAATGGAAAGGGTGCATGCATGCTCACGCCATGACCACGCCCGGTGGGGGCGTGGCCGGGCGGGGCAACAGGAAACAGAATGACAGACAGAGATCTCTACCTGAGCACCTCCGAGAGAGAGGAGTCGCTGTCATCCGACCTATAGGGCAAAACGGCAGTTGGGTTAGGGGAAGGTGGGAAGAGTCAGTAGAAGACAGATAGGGAGGGGGAGGAGCCTTTCAGGAAGCAGGCGAGAACAGGGGGTGGGGCTAGAGCAAAGGGGGAGGAGTTAGCAGGAAGGTTATGCAGAGTTCATCGGGTGGGGTTACTGGTATTAAGACTCAATGTTAACAGGAAGAGCCCACTCCAAACCTGAGCTCTGATCCATATATAGAAGCCTCACAGTGATGTATTCCCAGAGCTTGTGTTGTTGTAATGGATACTTCATGTCTCAGTTCACTCGGCTATTTGATCTGAGCTGTTTTTATAGTGACTATCAACAAAATGAAACATGACTCGAATAAAAAAGGCCTGCGTTTTAGTGAGACATAATACTATTTTTTCATTTGGGCAGCATCTCTATTGAAACACTATAGCGCTCTAGGCTTAACGGCTCCCACTATTCACAGACACAATATACAAGTACATGAGATTCAAAGCCGCACGTGGCAATCATCGCTCACACATACTAAGTGCTTTTATGTGAACTTGGATGATTGCTGATGTGCACAGAATAAAATATGAATGATATACAAACATAAGTGGTTTCCTTTCATCAATAAAAATAGTTTTGAAAATATTTTGTTGTGACTGAAAAAAAAAAACTGTTTCCACAAACATTTTAAGCAGCACATTAATAATAAGTATCTCATATTACAATGATTTCTGAAGGATCATGTGACACTGAAGACTGGAGTAATGGCTGTTGAAAATTCAGCTCTGCATCACAGGAATAAATTACATTAAAAGTATATTAAAACAGAAAACAGCTATTTTCTATTGGTCAGTGACACTGGTCAATGAAGTCAGAGACTTAAGAGACAAAAGAAAACAACATGAACCACTGGCAGTCCCTTGGATCGCATTTGATTGGCTGAAATGTAAATGAAGTGTCACGCTACTTTAAAACACAGACTCGGTCAGACTAGAAGCAAAGAAACTTACGACATGCACACATGCTTATTTGAGAAACTGATTCATGAGAGTGTGACCAATTGACAGGACACTTTGATTCGCTGACACCAACACTGATTTGAATGTTGATGAAGGTCTATTAATATTGGCCTGCATGAAAGTCTTGCGTCTGCTGTCCGGTTTTGTTATTCTGTGCTAACCCGAGCAAAGACTTAAAGGCTGTCAGGATTCCAGTCTAATCAAGTCAGTCCCGCCCATTAGGGACCAATCAGTAATCAAGTGGAGAAGCGTCTCTTGGGCTAAAATAATTAAGATCACGCAACAGCGTATATACTGAGACCGACGCACTGACAGTGACTGACATGCACATTAACAGGTGAGATTATTAATGTAAAGACGCATCAAGATACATGAGAAAGGATCTAATTAAGTTCTAAATAAAAAGGAGTTCAAAATTTCCATATGACAACCAGCGTAGACAAAAATGTTACGTCTTTAAAAATGTTACAAGGGTATTGCGATGTGGTTGCTAAGATGTTCAGAGTGGTTGTTATTATGTTGCTATGCAGTTGCTAGTCCAAAAAGCCTGTTATTCCGGTCCCTAAATACTGTAAGAAAGGGGTCAAACTGACCCAATAGTGTGTCCCAATTTTTTTTTTTTATATCTTTTTTAAAAACACATTAATTTATAACATTTGTAGTGAACAATCTAAAAGGTACTTTATAAACAAATAAAATTAAACGAAAAATGGCATTTAATTACTTAATATTTCACTTATTTCTCATAAATCTTACACAGGTATGCGAGTGTCAGCAAATCCATGTACATATTTGTTGGTCATAAGCTCAAAAAAAGAATCTTCAAAAAGGGGGTTAGTAGCCATATGCATTTTTGACTCACCACGGCATTTAACTATCAATAATTTTGTCAATAATAATAATACCTCAATACATCATGGATTAGTCAATTTTGGTTTGTCTCTTTCAGTTGAGACAATACCATATTTGGAGACAATTCAAAGAGTCAATGTATTTGCTACATAATTTTACCATATTTTTTATCATTATTACTTTTCTAGCATTATCAAAAGGGGATTTTATCAGTTGTTATCCCTCTTTAATGCATACACTACTAGACAAAAGTTTAGACACACCTGGATTATTATTTCTTCAGGATCTAAAAACAGTGGTTCTCAACCAGGGGGCTGCAGGACGACTTAAAATTGTTATTATTATTAAAATATTATTAATAATAATATTGTTAGTAATACTTAAACTTAACATTTATGATGCCAGTGGACCCATCTGTTATTACATGATTTAACAGCAATATCTTCGCCTAAACCTAAAGTAATCTTGACAAACTGTTTATGACTTGAAAGCTTAAAGACTCTAGCTGTCATATTTTGTGACTGATTTTCAATATACTTTACAGAGCAACCATAATTTATTAATTTGCAACAAGAGTACTCAAGAGTCGGCAAGCGAGTTCTGACTTTTATTTTGAAATAGCAATACACATGTAAAATCTTGAAACAAATCGGTAAAAACCTAATTTTCATGCCAATAATTCAAAAGATGACATCTATTCTTTTTTTTCTTTTTTTGAGAAAAAAAAAGGTCTAAAAACGTTTTGAATATAAAGAAAAACTGACAGATTCTCTGTTTGCAACATGTCTTTTTGTTAGAGGCTGAATTCAACTCAAATACTGTCATACTGCCCATAATACTTCTGAATATGATGTATACTTCATAAATATTTTGAAAAGTATGGAAAAACATGTTTCAGATCACTCAAACCATATATGGAAATGGGGCACCCTTATATGGTCACTAATGGTGCTTGGTGGTCATCTAATGGAAAAGTTTGGTACTGTTCCCAAACAAAACCTTACTGAAAGCTCATTTTTTGAGATATCAACCTAAAATTTGGAACACGACTTGTTCCAATTTTTGGTTTTGATTTTCTGGCAGTTTTAGAGTTCAACATTTTGTAAAATATATATCTTATATAAAATATTGCTTTTTACATTTTATGGTTTCAGAAACTTAAAATTTTCTTTTTTCTACTTCTGTTTCACTTTTTTCTCACTTTTTCTACCAAGGGTCTTCTTCAAAAAGAGACCAAACTTAAGTCTGTGCTTCAAATCATTCAAGAGTTATAATTTAAGTTAGAAATTTAAATTTCATTTAAGTTTAATTTTCAGGTCTATGTTCAAAAAGTGGAACCGACAGTTAACAGGTTAACATAATTTTAGGATTTTTGCACCCATTTCAAGTCTAAACTCTTATAAAAGTAATGGTGTGCTTCTCTTCAAATAATGCCGGAAGGGTTGCACCATCAGGGGTTTGTTCAAATCTCTAATTCTAAGCATGAGCTACAGTAATAATGATGCTTGCCTTAGCAAATAGTGCTAATTATGGTAATTTAACATAGAACACAAAATTACTGTGCTAAAGGTGGTTGTATGACTACGAACAGGATAGATAGCAAGCCAAACGCTGTAAACAAACTACGGAATGGTGCGGCCTGGTAGAAAATTACATTAAGAGAAATCTACAGTATGCTACCATATGTGTCCTATCCCACACTCTCTCTCTCACACACACACACACACACACACTGGGGAATGCAATATTCAAGAGGTTGGAGAAATAATAAGATAAATCCCTGACAGGCGCATCAAATGACCAATTTAGATCTCTATGGCAATATCAGACACTGCTGATTCAATTATGGAAGGAAAGTGCAAACAAAACCCATCTTCAGAGGGTGGAATAATTGGTTATTCTACCCTAATGTGCCCACTTGTGGTGTTATAATGAGAATTCACAGGAGCCCAAGAACTGACAGTAGCTTCTGCTGTCGGCTTTGAGTTATACTAACCATTCGACTGCAGTTAGAGATCGATACTGCCTGCGGCACACACAGGGTTAAAGCTGAGGTACCGAACTAGTGGATTAAAATACTGTAATGAAGCACTCGAAGTAACCTGACAGAAAGCATAGTCATTTACTTATAGCTGAAGGAGAAAAAAAACTAGCTGGGTGGAAAGGAAAGCAATTAAATAAACCTAGAGAACATGTGGGCTTATGTAAAATCCCATGCTCAGGTATGATGAGGAATTAGACCCTAAAGTAAATCAAACTCTGATGATTTTTTTTTTATCAAGATAATAAATAGTTCATGCTGTCTGTGCGTGTTTGTGTGCAACTCACTTGTCGAGAGCTGAGCCCTGACTCTGGTTGCTTGTCAGCCGGGAAAAGACGTTGCGGTCGTTGCGTGTTCGAAGTGGAGGGGAAGAAGGAGGGGTGTAGCCTACCTCTGGACTTCTGACATAAAAAAAGAAAAACAATACACACAAAAAAAAAACCAGCATGTTTGATTAAAGTAAAGAGTGTAACAGTATACTGAAACCTAATATTTCACAACATATCAACAGCTAACCTGATACACACTTTAAGTATGTTAAAGGGATAGTTCACCCAAAAATGACAATTCTGTCATAGTTTACTCACACTCAAGTTGTTGTCAATGGCTACCATCAACTATTGGTTGCCAACATTCCTCACAATATCTTCTTTTGTTTTCAACAGTGGTTAGGAACATCTTGAGGGTAAGTAAATGTCATGTCAAATTGCCCATGTCAAATTTATTTGTATAGTACCATTAAAATTAACATGTTGACTAAAGTAGTTTACAGCATAATATTGATAATAAAATAATAACATTAACAAAAATAGAAAAACAAAATGTATAAATTATATATATATGTATACACATACACAGTATATATATACATATATATATACATCCATGGACCATTTCCTATATTTTCATTTACAAAGGCAGATTTATACTATATATTTTTGTTTGCAAAACTAAATAATTAATTTTTACATTGTCATTTTACAATATGTTTAAGAAAATAATTAAAACATCTTGGAAAAATGTCTTTGCTTTTGGATACATAAAGCTGAAGGAAAACATTTTTATGTATTTTTATTACTGTACTGTTGATTAATTTGACTGACTGACTGACTGACTGACTCATTCATTCAATTCATTCATTCATTCATTCATTTCATTCAATTCATTCATTCATTTGTTTATTTGTCAGCTAAAGCAACATGAAAACACCACACAAAGATACAACAAATAAGTACATTGCAAAATAGTCTTTTCACATTAACAATAAGACTGAAAAATGTGCCCGCCTACGAAATAAAATGAGTTAGTATGACTAGTATTAGTTTTGCGATTTTTGTCCTGTCTTTAGGAAGCATAATGAAACTGTAATAAATTCAGTAATAAATTGTGTCTTTTTTCCTCCAGATCTCAGTTTGAAACCTTAACTAGAAACATTATTTGGCAGATTTCTGGTGATGAAGTTACCTATATGGCTGGCCTCGGTCGTATGACTGCCTCCTTGTTAAGGGAGATGTGTCAGATCCTCTGGACTGCCTTGGGCTGAAACATCAGCATAGAAATTGTGTTATGTTCAAAATAACTGAATAACTGTGAGGAGACAGAATCCAAAATTCTCATCCCACCCTGATCCCATATAACGGAATATAATTTATTCCAGCACGAGAGGGTTTTGCCTGACAGTTCCACTCACAAAGTGTGTCCTCTGACAGGCAGGCTGATGGTTCGAGACACCAGATCTCTGGAATAGGCCTCTTTGAGGACCAGGCCGTTCTCATGGATCTCCGACAGAGAAGCCAGGGACTTAGTGATGTTCTTGGAGGTGAGGTCCAGGATCGGGCCCAAATACTCAGCTGACACCGCCTTCATTTGTGCAGATAACCGAGGCTCAACCTGTGAGAGGAAATGCAGTAAATATTTCAAAATACTACACTGCCATCTGCTGGTTATAACACACAGAACAGAAATGAAGTGCTGCTTTCCAATGCTGATAAGCCCATTCAATATATCCATGTCATAAAATACTACTCGATCAACGCTGAGACACAAATTTTTAGTTTTACCTTCATCTTAAAGTCATCTTGACTCGCAGACAACTTCATCTGGAAAAAACTGTAGCAGGAAGTTAAGCAGTGAGGTTCAAATTTAGATTTGATAGATTATTTCATGATAATCATCTGTGAATGTACTGTAAGAATGTATTCATACCCGCCCTCTGATGCCTGACTGAACTCATACGCATCCTCATCTGTGCTGGCATAGCCATTCTCTGAGGAATATATAAAACAATGACGAATTAACACCACAATTACAAATATAGCTGCAAGCAGCGATTACCGGTGTTCAAGCGTGTTAAGGCAATTAAGCAAATACGAAAAAAGGCATTATGTATTATTTAGGAAGACTGTATCTACATAAAACAATGATTAAATAGAGCATTTTTGCCAATTCCAGGTAATTTACCATAGGAGTATTTTTTTGTTACCTGTATAAGTCTTATAGCGCCACCTACAGCACAATCTCCATAAAAGTTGGTATGCATCTTTAGAATCATATGCTGCATGTGCTCACCTAGTTTCATGAAGGTTTCCGTTTTAGTTTGGGATTTAAAGGTTTTTGGGTATATTTGGCCAGGCCCATTTTCTAAATGACCTTGTTATATCTAACCAAAGTGTAAAGTTCAACCTTTTTTTGACAATTATTGACCTAGAGAGTTCAGAGAATTGTACTGCCGTGGTTTTCTTGAAGGTAAGCAAAAAAACCTAGGACTAGTTCGCGAAAGTAAGTTTTTTTTTAAATAATCTTGAATGATTAACAAACGATTTAATTGACAGCAGTGTTTCTTGAGGCAAAGTTGTTCAGAATTAGGAGGCCTATCATATGATATGAATACCGTGTGCATGTGTGAAAAGTCACGCAATATACAATCATTTAGACACTTGAAAAATGTGATTGAGCCCCAGTGGCCGATTTCTTTCAAATTCCTCACAGACCTTTAGGGCCGAGAGTCAAACAGACCCACCGAGTTATGTTCTGATCAGCCTCTGTTAACGCCGTCTAATAGGTGCTCGAACTTCATTGGCTAGTTGATGCGTAGTTATAGACGTTTTTTTACGATTTTGTCCTATTATAGCACCACACAGTGGCCAGACTCCATGATTTTTCTCATGTGACCTCAGATCGAGGTCTTACATGTGCGTATCTAGTTTGAAGTAAATATCTCATTCCATTGAAAAGTTATAGACATTTTAGGAAAAGTGGCCATGCTTCATTTGAACATTTTGGCATGCCGTCACGACGGTGAGTCGAAAACTCAAGTTTGTTTTTTTTTGATAACTATTAATATTCACTCTCCAGCAGTGTTAATTTTGACCGCAAATTGTGATTTAGTTTTAGTCATAGTCTTTTGATGAAAATGCCATTTAGTTTTAGTCATATTTTAGTCAACTGAATTGTTTTAGTTTTAGTCTAGTTTTAGTCGACTAAATATCATACAATTTAGTCGACAATCTAAAGTAGATGTAGTCGACTAAATGTTTTATTTATTGTTAATAAATTTATTATTTATTATTATTTATTAAATACTTTATTTCTGTTTTATTTGAGTACATCAGGTTAAGCTAAACCTTATAAACTAAATGAAATCAAATAATATATTTTTTAATTTATGTATTTTAGATATTAATTTCCTTTTTATAGATTTGTTTTATAATTTCAGTTAACATTTATTTATTTCAATTAATGAAGAATATAATGAAAAATGTTATGGTTTTAGTTTTAACTATAAAAACCTGATACGAGTCAAATTTATTTATTAAAATAATATTTTGTATAATTTTCTTAGTCTGTCCCATGCTGTGATTGGGAATCCCAGACAGAAGCTACAATAGTTGTAAATTAAATTAGTCAACTGAATTGTTTTAGTTTTAGTCTAGTTTTAGTCGACTAAATATCATACAATTTAGTCGACAATCTAAAGTAGATGTAGTCGACTAAATGTTTTATTTATTGTTAATAAATTTATTATTTATTATTATTTATTAAATACTTTATTTCTGTTTTATTTGAGTACATCAGGTTAAGCTAAACCTTATAAACTAAATGAAATCAAATAATATATTTTTTAATTTATGTATTTTAGATATTAATTTCCTTTTTATAGATTTGTTTTATAATTTCAGTTAACATTTATTTATTTCAATTAATGAAGAATATAATGAAAAATGTTATGGTTTTAGTTTTAACTATAAAAACCTGATACGAGTCAAATTTATTTATTAAAATAATATTTTGTATAATTTTCTTAGTCTGTCCCATGCTGTGATTGGGAATCCCAGACAGAAGCTACAATAGTTGTAAATTAAATTAAATTAAATAATTAAATTAAATTAAATTAAATTAAATTAAAAAGTTTATGTACCCAAAATATCAATAATGACAACAGTGTCATGTTTTCCCGCAGTTAGATCAGGACGGTACAATGCAAATGTACGTAACTACCACATAAGACATCTGTCCTGACTGAGTCTGACTGGATATTTTCCCAAATTGTCCTTCCCTAACATTTTCGTCTCGTTTTTATTTGTTGACGAAAATGAGAGTATATTTTCGTCATTAAAAACTGTTTTTTTATTTAGTTATCTCGTTTTCGTCGGTGAGTAAATGTCGTTGACGAAAATAATTCGTCAACAAAATTAACACTGCTCTCCAGCGGATTTTCCTGCACTGATTTGGTTCCGACTAGGCGAAAAACCTAGGACTAGTTTACAAAAGAAGGTTTTTCAAAAAAATTTAAAAAGCCAAAAATTTCCTCAAGGGTGGCGATCGAATCAGTCACATGCGTTTCCAATGATATAAGACACTTGAGTCTACGACAAGCGCTTTAGGAGTTATGAGCGATTTCATACTTTTGATCGCTGTAGTGCCCCCGTCAGGCCGATCGGGCAAACCTTGGCGACATTGTAGACGGGATGAGTACTACCATGCCTCAAAGTTTTAGGTCTCTATGCCTTACGGTTTGGTCTGCCCCATCAGTTTTAGGTCAGAATGCTGATCTGTGAGAATCTTAGGGTGTATTCACACCTGTCTTGTTTGGTTCGATTGAATCGAACTCAAGTTTGTTTCACCCCCAGGTGTGAATACAGCAATCGCACTCGGGTGCGGACCAAACAACCGTACCGAGACTCAGCTGAAGAGGTGGTCTCGGGTCCGCTTACAAACTAACTCTGGTGCGCTTGAATGGATGAACCAATGAATGGATGACCTCAAGCACATGTCTGGTTTTGTTTACAGATTCTGGTTCACTTGCAAAAAGGGCAGTGTGAAAGTGAACCACACCAAACAAAAAAAAATCAACATTGTATTTGGTCCGGACCAAAGCAAGTGAACTAGCGGACTTTCCTGGTGTGAATACACCCTTAATTACAATAGAATTACAGCGCTATGCACTTAAACCCCTAAAAACACAATGTATCCCAGTCAGGCTAACACAGTATACATAGCAAGGTTTTTTTATATAATAAATAAAGATAATAAAAGGTAGATAGATAAGAAATAGAATAGACAGAGCTAGTGTTAGAGGGTCAAGTGTAAATGGAAGAGATGTGTTTTTAGCCGTTTCTTGAAGATGGATCGAATTAGCCAGGTCATTCCACCAGCAGGGAAAATATAGATATATGAATACTTATGACTGATTACTCACCTTGCTGGACATTGTGGATTAGAGCTTGCAGCTCAGGGATACACTCTGCCTTTTCCCTTAGAGCATCGAGGATCATGTGATTTTGGGAAGAGCCAATCACATCCGTCTGCCGCAGCTGACCCTCCAGCAGGCGAATTTGAGCCTCTTTTTGAGCAACTTGTAACCCCTATATACACAAACACACGTGAAACACTACCATTCACACGTCTGGGGTCAGTAAGATGATTTAAACATTTTTTAAGGAAGTCTCTTCTGCTCACCAAGGCTGCATTTATTTGATTAAAAAATTTTTTTTATAAAAAATAAATAAATTAATAATATTTTGAAATATTACAATTTAACAAATACTTTAAAAAAATATATATTTCTAGACAATTTATTCATGTGATTTAAAGCTAAATTTTCAGCATCATTACTCCAGCCTTTAGTGTAACATAATGCTTCAGAAATCATTCTAATATTAAACATTTGTATTATCTACACTGAAAACAGTTGTGCTGCTTTTTTGTGGAAACCATGATACAATTTTTCAGGATTCTTTGAAGAATAGAAAGATCAGCATGTATTTGAAATATAAATCTTTATTAACATTATGCCTTCTCTGTCACTTTGTACTGTAGCTGAAAAAAAGGAATTAATTTCTTTAAAAAAAACTTGACTTTTGAACGGTAGTGTACGTATTTGCTTTTTTTACGATTTAAATTATAATATAATGTATTACAATTTCACTATTACTTTAGTCATTAATTAATTATTCTAATCTACAGTACTTAATCATGTATTACTCTGGATGACCCTAATCAGAACATCAAACAGTTCTGCCTAGACTTACCTTGTCAATAGAGGCTTTGAGGAAGTAGTCCAGGAGAGCGCGAGCTTCGGCCAGCGAGCAGGAACTGATGACCACTGAGGTGTCCACTGAGTCCAGCTCATCCTAAAATAAGCACACGATTTGACCAATATCAAAAAAACCTTTACGTAAATATAAGTGACGCGTGATTCAACTACATGCAACAAGCAAGCAGTCATTTCTGAAATGCCCTGTACCTTGGTCTCCTCGATCTGTACGATGGTGGCCTGGCAGTCTGACAGACTGTCGCTGATGTAGTCGATGTTGGCATTGAGAACCTCAATCTCCTCGTTCATCTCCTGAAGGAGCCTCTCCTCCTCATCCTCTCCGAAGCCCTCGTTCAGTAACTTTTCTCTCTTGCGCAACAGCGCCTCCTGCTGCATGGACAGCTCCTCACGTTTCTGGAAGTGAGACATCATGTAAGAGTTGCGTTCACAATCCTTCTTTATTGCTGAACTGTTACATTGTTAAACACACAAATCATAAATGCACACAACAATCATACAACAAAAATGCACAGGGTGCATAATGCATAATGTAACATGTAAAAGAAATATAAATGCAAAAATTACCTTAATGAGGCGATCCATATCAGCTTCCACATTAGTGATGGTCATTCTCTGCATCACAATATCCATGATCCTCCTCTCCAGAGACTGCCACTTCTGACGGGCTGTCTTTGAAAAACGTGTGCTCGTACTCTTTCGCTGGAACTTTTTTCTGCTACTGAAAACAAATTCAGATATACAATATATAGCCTACAGTTCATATTGTAATGGGAACAGAATTTTCTTTTAGGTGAATTTTTAGAATTTTTCATTAGGTGAATGTCACCTAATAGAGTAACCATACAATTTATTAGATTAACCTTTAAAAAAAAGAATGGAATAAAAAATTGTGCATTTATCTTCCATAATGTGATGCACTTCTGACTGAAAAAATTGAAATATTGTAAAAATTTTAAGGCAGGATTGATGCATTGGGATTTGATTGGAGTGATATAAATTATTAATTATTAGTAATTATTATTTTCATTATTTTAATTATTATTATTATTACTATTATTATTTTAATAATTGTATAAAAAATTATGTATTTATTTGTAAGTTAATCTATCATACCATTCAAATGTATCAAATGTGACAATAAAGAAATATATATAAAGTCACAAAAGATTTCGGTTTTAAATAAAAGATCTTTAGAACTTTTTATTCATTAAAGAATCCTGAGAAAGAAAAAAAACTATATACAAAAAAGTATTAAAAAAAGGAATCTTTCACTAATAATAAAGGTGCGTTCATGCCATATCGTATTTACAATGATTACGAGATACCAACTTGTAAAAAGCATTCATGTCCTCGTATAACTCGCATTTACAACTTGTGAACTGGGAGTTTTATGAGAGCTACAACTTGTACCACCTCAGATTCATTCGGCGCTATGTGCGATAGTTCTAAGTTTAAGGGTGTGAACAGCTCCAAATTGAACATCATGTGTTGTCATTTCGAAATTACAGTAATTACGACATGGCATGAATGCAGCATATGAAACGTTTGAGCAAAATCATTATATTAAGGCCTTTTCACACTAAACGCGAAAATTCGGCCCGATGATGCTTTTGAATCAAAACAATAGATCCCTATGGCGCTATTCACACCAGGCGCGACCATTTGCGGCGTGAAAAAGCGAGGGCTTTTTTCGTCCTATGTGTCGTTTTTTTTTTTTGTTTCCTGTCGCTCTGTGAAACCTACGGGTTGTCCAATTACATTTGAGCTTAGATCACGTGCCCGGAGCAGCTGCCTTTGCACAAAAGGCGAGAGCGGTGGTGCTAACTATATTTTAAGATGTATTCTTGAAAGCATTATAGATAGTTTGTGTTTCTGGTGTAGAACCATACTTTACTTAACTTAAAGTGCCCCTATTATGGGTAATGAAAGGTTCAAACCGCTATTTTACCGCTCCAAAAGCGGCACCTAGTGGCAAAGAATGAATTTGCATTTTCATTCAGACCAATGCGAAAAGACCAAAAAGTGGGCGGGCAATATGCTAATGTTTCATGTTGACCTCAAGATGAAACGGCTTGGGATTCGTTTTAAAAACGACTCGTTTCAATGATTCAGAGTCAACTCTTTCTTTTGAGACACAACGTTATACACGGTGCACTTTCAGATTTAAAACTTTGCAGGATGTTTTCATTCACTTACACACTGCATGAAAGGTAATTTTCAAAAATCCATAATAGGGGCATTTTAATTTAATGCTGTTGAACAGCGAACGATGTGAGGAAAAATGCATTGTTGGTTGGCGCCACCTAGCGTGCAGGCGTCAATTAGCAGAAGGCGATCAATCGTTTCGCGCTCGGTGTGAAAGCACCGTTTGTCGGCGATTCACCTCACTTTTTCGCATCGCACAGCCTTTAGACTGCTTTCTGAAGGAAGACTGCTTTTCTGACAGTGAAAACTGGAGTAATGATGCTGAAAATTCAGCTTTACCATCACAGGAATAAATTACAATTTTAAAATAAAAATTAATTCAAATAGAAAAGTTATTTGAAAATGTAATTATATTTCACAATATTATTGTTTTTTGCTCAAATAAAGGCAGCCTCACTGAACATAAGAGACTTCCTTGAAAAACATTCATCGAGTCATTGGTGTACGCAGCTGACCTGGCCAGGTTTCCTCCAGTCCCACGGCTCTCATTCTCTCCCAGGAATCCGTTCAGTTTGGTATTCCACTGGCGTATGATGCTGGACACCGAGCGAGTGGATTCGTGTTTGGAGGTTGTTGTTGTGTTGCTGGTGGACAGCTCTGCTCCGGAGTCCACACTGGTGAGTCTGCGGGCCACGCGTCCCGCCACACGCTCCGACATGGGCTTGGCCAGCCGCCTCAGCGCCGTCACTTCCTGCGTCTTCCTCCGCAACACGATCTCCTGCTGATGCTTCTGGGACTCCAAAGCTCGGATCTGATACTAAAGGAGCACAGAGAGAGCGAGTAAATAATACTACATACACCACCATAAACAACTGGTAGCACTCGTTTTTAAACGTTAATCAGTCAAACCTCTTGTCGTCGCTGCTCTTTCTTCAGTTGTGCGATTTCTCTGTTCCTCTTCGCATCGATCATCCTCCTCCGCTGCTGCTCCTCCTTCATCTGCTTCATCAGCGCCACCTATAGGTAGGATGAAAAGCAAGCACTGTGAGAAACTACTAGATGCAGCAGCGTCTAACAGCAAAAAAAAGTAGTCTAATGTTCCCATTCAGATAATATTTGCCATAAAAAAAATGTGTATGCAATATTAGAATGAATGTGACCCAAAATACAGTACATTATATTAAACAAGAATGTTGTATATTAATAATATTAGGTTATTTTGGTTTTTATTTACATTTTGTGAACACATTACTTCTTGTTTGCCAAGATTATCAAATAAGTGAAAATAGAGGTATTAAAATTTGTGGCTGCACTTATTTCTGGTCCAGCTGTCACACTGGAAAGCAACAGCCAATCAAGCACACTGCATTATGGGATAGACTTATTTCATACCTTGCTCTTTTTTGTATAATGTCTATTTTACAAATGTTATCTGGGTGCTATACACTACCATTCAAAAGTTTGGGCTTAGTAAGATTTTTTTTTAAATGTTTCATTCTCACCAAGGTTGATCAAATAAATACAGTACACACAGAAATATTGTGAAAAGCTATTACAATTTAAAACAACTTTAACATATATATTTTGAAATGTAATTTATTCATGTGATGCAAAGCTGTATTTGTAGCTTCCATTACTCCAATCTTCAGTGTCACATGATCCTTCAGAAATCATTTAATATGCCGATTTGCTCAAGAGACATCTTTTTATTCTTATGTTCTTATTATTAATGTTGAAAACCATCAATGTGGAAACCATCATGCTTTTTTCAGAATCATTTGATCAATAGAAAGTTTAAAAGAACAGCATTTATTTGAAATAAAAAGATTTGTAACATTATAAATGTCTTTGTCACTTTAATGCATCATTGCTGTATGAATGTAAATTTCTTGCAAAAAAAAAAAACCTTACCGACAATACTATTGTAGTGTCTTAATATCTGGAATCAGCTATTATTTTTATATATTCAATTTTAATTTTAGTTACATTTTGTGTGTCATTTTTAGTACTTATTTATATATGTGCACATAGTTTATTAATTTTCAGTTTTAATTTAATTATTTTAAGTACATCAAGTTAAACTAAACTGAAAAATGTTGCAACTAGCTAAAATAAATTTAAAAAGTGTTTGTATATTTTATTTTATTTCAGTTAAAGTTTTTTTTTTATTATACAAATAATGACTTTTTATGATGTTACTTTTAGTTTAAGTTTTAGTTTTACTTAGCCATAATAACCCTGCCCCAAACTTTTGAACATTAGTCTCTGTGTGTGTAGCCACTTTTCCAATACTTGAAAAAAGGAAGTACTTTACCCACTGCCAGCATACAAACTTGCATGCAAACTGGGACACACACTATGCCTGAGGGATCAGCTACTTTCATGGAGAAAAGAGAAAAAAAAAAAAAAACCTACACTCATGGGAAAAATTGGTACTTTAATTACACTCTTAAAATAAAAGTTTGACACTGTAAATGTCTTCATTTTCAATTACAGTCAATTATCTCTGCAGCTGATGAAACCAATGAAATGTTTTGTTTTTCTCCTGATGGCCTCAAGGGGGCAGCGTATTTCTAAAAATAAAGCTCCAGCGCTCACCTTGGCTTTCTTCATATCGGCCACCTCAGACTGCAGTTTCTTGAGCTCTCTCTCGTAGCGGTCCTGGTTCTTCAGCAGACGTGCGTGCTCCTTCTGAGCGGCCTGCAGCTTCAGCAGGTCTCGGTTCATCTCCTTCAGACGCTTCTCATACTCTGATTTGATCTTACTGGCTTTCTCCTCAGTGTAGTTCTCCATGGACACTAAAATCACACAGAAAATGATGGAAGAATTGTTTACTGGGATTATTAAAATTATCGTTTACATTCCAAAGATGGAAAAAAAAACGAATTTCTTATGGGTTTGGAACAACATGAGGGTGATTAAATGATGACGATGGTTTAACGAACCCTTTAAAACACCTATTTATATACTTTGGGGCCTTTTGCCTTGGAGAAATACCAGAAATACATCACAAACAACAGAAACGATATCTCCACAAACGGATGTGAAGCTGGCAGATGCTCACTGAGGTTGTGCAGCACGCGGTCTCTCTCCAGCTGTGTGTCTCTGATCTTGTTCTGGAGCAGAATCAGTTTCTCCTCATACTGGCTCCTCAGCGTCAGGAGCCGCCGCTGGCTGTTCTCCAGCTCATCGATGAGTCTCTGCTTGATCTCGATCTCACACGTCAGGTCCGCAAGATCGGCCTGTAAGCTGACTGAGAGATGAGGAGCCACAGGTTACAAGGTCAGTGTGAATGAAAGGGACTGACTGGACGTTTGTAATAAACGCTAGGGCTGTCAAAAAAATAAATCGAATATTTGTCGAATTTAAAATAAAAATCCACATTCGAACGCAAAAACGTTGCATTCGAATTTTAGGTGTGCGTCAGGCAGCCTTATCAGTGGCACACAAGATACGATGACGATGTAGGTGTCAGTGCATTTTAAAGGGGTCATATGATGCGATTTCAAGTTTTCCTTTCTCTTTGGAGTGTTACAAGCTGATTGTGCATAGATAAGATCCCTGTAGGATCTTATCCCATAGATAAGTTGCAAAGACTAAAGTCTCAAATCCAAAGAGATATTCTTTATCAAAGTTAAGACTCTGCCACGCCCCCCTAAAACGGCTCATTCTAACACGCCCCCACATATCTACATCACTATGCGGAAATATTTGCATAATGCTGCCCAAATGTGCACGCAAAGAAAGAAGGCGTGGTTTCAGTAACCGCAGTTAGTGTTGAAGCAGCCATGTCAGGGAGAAGCTGTGTGTTTCTAGGCGAAAGCAAAAGCACTTTATTTAGCCTTCCGAAAGTAGATGCATTTAGGAATCTTTAAGATTACTTACAACAGAACAGCAATGCATTTTATGGACGACCGTTTCGTGAACCTAGGAGAGGAGGTAATTCTGACTTTGCTATGACAATCTGGCACTTCTGAATCAGCTACTGTAAGTATGTTTTGTTATTAGTTTAAGTATTTGCTATTGACTGTTCAAATGCAGAGTTTTGCGCATCACGTGTGTGTGTGTGTGTGTGTGTGTG